CGGGGAGGGGGGAATTGGGGCTGGGCAGATCTGCTGTGGGGCCACCCCGAGCCTGAACACCTTGGGAGCCGGGCCTTGATGCTCGCTCAGGCCATAGACACAAGGTACCCAAAGCCAGCAACGTGCCCAGTCCCCCCTCCCAAAGAAGGGGCCCGGCACCCCAGACGGCTCCCCCAGCACCCCCTGCCCCCAGGGGCTGCTCTCCGTCATCCAGAGGCTGAAGGGATCCCCGGAGCAGGAGCTCCGCATCGTCCTGCTGGGGCTGGACAATGCAGGCAAGACCACGCTGCTGAAGCGCCTGGCGTCCGAGGAGGTCAGCACCATCACCCCCACACAGGTAGGGGCTGCTGGGGGCCACGGGCAGGGCGGAGGGCGCAGGGCACACCCATCCCCTGGGTGACACTGGGGTTTGTGTCCCCACGCAGGGATTCAACATCAAGAGCGTGCAGTCCCACGGGTTGAAGCTGAACGTTTGGGATATCGGGGGGCAGCGCTCCATCCGGCCCTACTGGAAGAAGTACCTGGGCAGCACAGACCTGCTGGTGAGTGGGGCAGCACCCCCAGGCCTGTGTGGGCCCCACAGAAGGGCTGTGCAGCCTGGCAAGCAGGAGCCCCTGACTGTCCCTTTTGTCCCCACGGCAGATTTATGTCATTGACAGCGCAGACCAGAAGCGTTTTGAGGAGACAGGGCAGGTATGAGGGGTGGCTGTGGCATGCTGGGGCTCAGATCTGTATGGCACCACCTCTGTGGGGACGAGGGGGAGGCAAAGCTGTTCTGAATTATGGGCAGTGCTGCAGGGGGGGCCATGCTGTCCCCAGAGCTCTGAGGGAAGGCTCAAGATCTCAGCAGGCAGAGATGCCCCACTCCATGGCCCTGCAGCTCCCCCTGAGCTGGGATGCTCCAAGCACAGGGGTGACAGTCCCTGGTGAAAGTGACCCCTCAGTCCCCAGCCCTCATCCCATCCAGCACCCAGTTAGTGATACGGCCAAACAAAGGTTTATGAGCAGCAAATTCAGCTACAAACGCTGGGATTGGAGCTGTGAGAGGGGAAGGTGAGACTCCAAGTGCCAGCCCCGGCTGTTCCGGCACCAGACGGCCGTGTGGGTGTGCCAGACAGCTCGGCACTGCCAGGAGCCTCCTGCAGCTGCCCTTTGCCCAGGGCTCCCAGGGCTGGGAGGATTTCAGTGCTCAAGCAGCCCTGCATGGGGCTCCTGGGCTGATGGAGCTGCAGGAGGTGAAGCTCCTTTGGGAGCTTCTCTTCCTTGGAATGCCAAGATTCCTTATCTGCCATGAGCACCAGAGAGGAGGAATGGGGCATTTGGAGGGCTGAGGTGTCCAGCCCATGCAGCAGCCCTGGGAGAAGCTTCTCTCTCGGCAGGAGCTGGCAGAGCTCACGGAGGACGAGTCCCTGACGGGGGTTCCGCTGCTGGTGTTTGCCAACAAGCAGGACCTGGTGACTGCAGCACCTGCAGCTGAAATCGCAGAGGGGCTGAGCCTGCACACCTACCGGGACCGGGAGTGGCAGATCCAGGCCTGCTCGGCCCTGTCTGGGGAAGGGGTGCAGGTAGGGATGAGGGCCTGTGGGCTCTGCAGAGCTAGGCCCAAGGGCCTGCGCTCACATCCTTCTTCCCTCCAGGATGGGATGAACTGGATTTCCAGCCAGATCATGAACAGGAAGAAGTGAGAGCTGCCAAGTGCCAGACGGGACTGAGCTGCAGGTCCCTACGCCACGGCCAACCCCCTGGTCCCTCGGCTTCCCCTGAGCCTCGGCTGGGCCCTGAGCCTCAGACTGCCAGGCTTGGGTGATTTTCCCACCCAGTCTTCCCCAAATCAATCGGCTTCCCCTCTCCCTGCCTCCTGGGCTTCCACGGGCTCCTCACACCCCTGATCCCCTGCAGCCCCCGTGCTGTTGGAGGGAAGCACATGTCCCATCGTGCTGAGGGCTTCCACACCTCCAGCACGAGAACCTGCCCAGGACTTGTGCATCCACACTGCTGTCACACCCCACAGGGGCTGCTGTGACCCACACACTGCCCCGGGCACCCCGGGCACCTCAACACAGCACTGGCTGCACCGCCAGGCACCCGAGTGTTGTGTCCCCTGTGCTCCTGCAGGATGGGACCGGTGCTGCCTCCGTTCAGCACCTCTCGCTGGCCAGGGGAGTCCCCATGTGCGCACAGGACTCGGGACAAGCACGAAGACAGGACCGGCCACCACCGAAGGGATGTGCCCGGTGCCGCCCAGGGGTCCCCGTACCCTGTCCCTGTTGGTACCACACGNAGTCACCAAAGTGATGCCTAAGCAGTTTTGCCCATCTCCTAAGGTCGGGGTTCCATGTTGATCAGCAACCACAAACCAGTGGAGGATATTTTGGGTTATTTGTTAGGAAATCTCAGTAACTAAGAGCGCAGGATAAACCGCAGAGCACCATGGCAACCCGCTCAGGGAAATGCTAATAACGGGGATGTAAGGTGGGTGATTAACCTAGCAAAAGCAGAACCCTAACATTAAGTTGGGTGCAGATCTATGCAGAAAAAAATGAAGCTTTCCCACCGTGAGCAGGCAGAAAAGCAGAACACCAGAAGGAGCCACAGGGCTGACAGGGTCTCTGGGTGAGGGGAACAAAGGGTGGCACCTCTGGATGCCCCTCTGCCCCCTGCCACTGCATGGAGCAGCAGTGGGATGAGGGGTGATCGTGCTGCTCCCCTCTGCTTTGTTGGAGTGTGGCTGTGTTGTTTGGCTTGGCTTTGCCACCAGAGTTATAAATAAAAATGTCTCTCCAAGAGTGCGTGACTCACGGTCCTCACCACAAGGACAACCTCTCTGCTGGGAAACCTGATCTGAGGATGGAACTGCTGCATTCAGGAATCAAAAACATTGCTTAATTAATGCACTTAATCCAAACGGAGAACAGATGAGCCCCTCACCCCACCTGGGCTGGGGGTGGGCTGCTGGAGAATGTGTCTGAGCCCCTCTGGTCCTGTGTCATCCCCAAGCTCCAGCTGCTGCCAAGCCAGCCTCAACCTGCTCCAGGGCCTGGTGGTTTCCCTTGGGCAGCACTGGGGAGCTGTGGCACTCGCTGACGTGGCCCCGAGCAAGCTCAGCAATTTCTTTTGCCACCCTGCAAGGGGACATTTGGTGTTGCCTCAATGTGAGGTATCCCAGCGTGTGAGGCTGTGCCAGCCCTGTGCCTGGGCACGGCATCCTCCGTGGGGAGGGGGATGCCCTGTGCCCCAGTGCCCCAGCCCGGGGGGACCTGGCTTATCCCGGGGGTAGGCGACGGCGGGGCGACAGCTGGCTGGAGGATTTGCCGAGGGCATTATTTAACACTGTGGGTAAATGGAGGAACAGCAGCTAATTCCGGAGCCCGTAATCCTCTTCCTCCCCCGGGA